TGCAACTAAAGGATGGACTACATGGATGTTGACAACATGGTTGTTGACGGTGATGGTCCTCACTTTTTCAAGGCTGTTCACTTTCGTACGCTCCATACCATTGTACGTTTGCAAACATATTTTTTGGCTACCTCTTCGTTTACTTCAACAACATTGTATATATTATAAACAAATGTTATGTTTTTTGCAGGATTTCCCTCCTGCGACACACCACCATTACCGTGGGGTCGTGCTACCATAAACTTGCCGTATCCAAACCATCGAGGGTCGTACATATGAGACGACATTGAAGATGATCAATAACTGCTCAACTTTAAAGGATGGGTGGAGAGATTTCATTCTCACAGAAGATATAACACTTTGTTACTTCTTGGTTTTTCGTCCGAGAACTATTTTTGACTTTGAAGTGACCGTGCTTGAGCCCAACGGTTGTGAGAGGCTACCACAGCAACGTTTACTCTCGAAATGAAGCCAACACATATGGAGCGTGCACGTCTGGTATGTCCAACCATCATAATATTATACTTTGATGATCGAAAACGCATATTTGATATTTGGAACTGTAACGTCTATTTTTTTTTAGGCAATCCCAATGCCGTTTTGGAGGAAGTACATACAAGGCCGGTATTTGAACTACAACTCCGCAATAATACAGTTTCGTGACAGTAGGTATGCCGTCGAAATAATTCATGGACACGGGAAGAAACTCATTCGAAATGGTCGTGCTCGGGAATTCTTCGATAACAACATTGTTCTAGGTGATGTTTGCACGTTCTTTCTCCTCCCATATAATGATGTCATAACATTCAAAGTAAAAATGTAGGCGAAATCTTGATGTTGTGGATTGCGCGTGCACTTGTTTTGGGTTTATGCTGGTATGTTTTGTCGGGATAAGATTGTATGAACTATTTTTGATGATGTTTCGAACCGTAGTTTGATGTTGTGGATTGCGCGTGCACTTGTTTTGGGTTGATGCTGGTATGTTTTGTCGGGATATGACTGCATGAACTATTGTGGATGATGTTGCGAACTCTAGTCTTGATTTAATTCGCTTTTGACGATGATGGATGGAACAGTGACTTGGTTATGCATTATTTATATTTTGGTTCTCAATGGTTTATGTTTGTGGTTGTTCTTTTCCTTTGTTTTTATCTATTCATGTTTAACATCAAGCATTAAACAAAAACATAATAATTACTATAATCTCCACAAAACAAACAGAACCGACTCCAGTACAAAATATAATAAAATATAAGAGGATGACATAATGATAGGTCGACATTGAATAATGCTCGAACAACCAAACTGTCGAAACACTTTTTATCACACTATCAATCCTCGGAGATGGCTAGAACATAAACATTAAAGTAGGACGACATAAATAATAATATGGCATAGGTACGAACATAAATTAAAACGATACTTTAGTGGAGCTTTTACCACGACCAATCGAACGAGTAATCCGTTGGGGTAGTTGAACATGCAGTTGACACAGAATTTGCGTCTGCATCATGGGGACGACTTTGAACAGAGTCGTAGTTTATTGGTTGTTTGACAGATCCATCGGTTGACCCAGTTTGACTGTGTATGGAATGCTTCTTCTTTGGAGCCTTTGAAGTGCTACCCATATAAACGGCCGGACGTTGTGGTTGTTTTTTGCGAGGGATGTCCGTTGGAACTGGGTACGACACTAGCCTACTCCTTGAGCAGAGTTCGGAATGTAGTCCTCCACATCGACAACTTCAACATCTTTGTCTTTGGCATTTTGAATTCATCCCTTCACTTTCACTGTCTGATAGAATATGATACTCGACTTCAGGTTTTTTCGGTGCATCCACGTGGAACAACTCTACGATATTTTCGTGTTGGGGATCACCTGTTTTCATGTAAGCTAGCGAGAAATCATCTCACTAGGTGAAAAAAAAAATTACATAACTTTACAACTAAAACGTACGTGAACCCAAGCAAAACATACAACATTATGAAAACTCACATTAAACAACTGATACCACATGTTGTCGGAAGCATGGTACACGTTGTTGGACACATCATAATGAACCCCATCAGTTTCTTTAAGTGCGGTAAAAATACTGTGTCTTTTGGCAAAAACATCAATACGTGACCTTATGTACTCCGTCGTGAATTGTTTGCGAAACCAAGCATTGAAGGCCCTCGTAGCATCACCAAGGCGTTCGTAACTTGTAAAAGGAACATATAGACCAACACGTTTGTCTTCCACCAAGAAATCGATTAAAAACTCGTCCATGCTTGGGGTCCAATGGAGGTCATACAAATAATCGGCCTGCACTACACCAAAACTGGGAGCCATTGCAAAAAAAAAAAAAAAAAAAAAAACTCTAGTCTTTCTTTTTTGTTTGCCTTGTGGTGTGCTTTTGTGTGAGAACTGGGTTGTTTAAATAGAAGCAAGTTATGGTTGCAGTTTAACAAATGCATTGTCTACTGTTGGAGATTCAATTGTCTATCCAATCAACACAACTTTTTAGTGGGGGTGGTTCTACTTTAGCTGCTAAGTCCTATCCACTCACCTGTACAATGTTTTTTTGCTGTGTAGTCACTTCAGCTCATCTTTGCAGAAAGCAAAAGATTAAACAAATCTCATTCACATGCATGGGCATGAATATGACAAGATGGAGTAGGCTTCCATACTTCTGTCATACATATGTGAATTCAATCCCAAATATTTTAACCATTCGGAACAATAATATTCAAAACAAAATATATCATGAGTGGCTGCCTGGAAAATTACAAAACTACATTATCTAGGTTCATGTTGCAAGTTTCAACAAGTTCATAAATTACGAAGGTGGTTTTTTTCCTTTATTATCTACACCTGCATCGGCACTGGTACTGCGAATCGAAGAATTTACCACGTCTGGGTGGACTGTTTCCTTGTCAACCTCACCAAAAATTATCTGCAGTTTCGACCATTGCGGGTATCCCATAGTTTTGTAGGCCAGACTAATAGGTTCATCCTTCAAGAAAAAAAAATGTAAATTACTTAAGGATACCATACTTGACATAGAAAAAAGTATTTGAATGTGATCAACCACGTTACGTACAGTAAATACAATCTTCCATGCCTCCTTTGGACCCCACATGAGACTAGTCTCGCAGCAGTAGTTAATTCCATTCTTTGTAATCATCTCTCGCATCACCCTATGACTTAACCTAAATTTCTTAAACCTGTACTCACACTCTACTGAAGTAAACGATTACCAAACTCAATAGTCAAGCTATCAGCGCTTAAGGTAAACAATGAGTACTCATCCTTTTTATTGCCTTCAAGTAACAACGGGAAATGGGGTTGTGCTGATACTAACAACAATGCGAAGGACTCGTCAACCTCAACTGTCCATTTATCATTAAACAAATATTGTTTTTGCTCTGGCGGGATATGGAACTCCATAGCTGTTTCGTGTTCCTAGTTCACAACCTTCACTAACAGATTCAAATAAGCATGCATAACAGACTAAGCACTCGTATATACAACATATTATAACTAACAGGAGTAAACAAATCATAATTATCCAATGTCAGGCTCTTAAGTTTTTTATAAAAATAATAATAACTAATAAAAAACTTAAATTTATCCAACATTTCGACAAATCAACTGATATAAACCAAGGAAAAAAATAAGAGCTACAACAACTGGAATAATAACATTACAAAAGGCCTACAACATCTGGAATAATAACATTACAAAACAAGCCAAATCACTACCCAAATCACAAGCCAAATCACTACCCAAATCACATTCTACCCTACTACCAACATACTTAACTTCACAACTCTCAAACATCAGAATCCCTCAAACATACGAAGTTAACATGACTTCATAAGGATTTTACATGAAACGATAGTGGTCATATATTCATCCAACCTCAAATATGAAACAATTGTGGGTGCGACCACGGAAACAATAACTACAAATATGAGGTCCTAAAAAACAATCCATGATATCATGTTCCACAACACCCCAATTCCAGCCTAATCAAGTACACAACATCACCATCTTTAATCTCACTTTTCAAAACATCACCACAAGCAGCACCTTTGGTCACTTTTCAAAACAACACCACAAGCACCACAAGCAACACCCCAGCACCTTATTTTACATAATAGTTCCCCCCAAACTAGTATTACGTTGAATTCACCATACACACAACGCTCATGTTCAAACAATAAACGCAGAGGCACAATAAATAAGGAAACAAAAAACAAGGTTATAATAGATATACCCAAACAAATTCCAATTCAAAACCCTAATCCGAAAACTCAATCAAAAATAAACAAAAGTTGAACACGACATAAATTATAATCATCACTAATACAAGATTACCTGAAAATTTGTCGACTTCAATCCGATTAATCGGATGCGCAAAGAGTGTGCTTCTTGTTGATTTCACTGTATCCAATTGAGTAATGGCGACGCGACCAACCTCGTAACTTCCACTACAACCCCGTACGGAACAAATTCGTCGAGATCGTCTTGCCGTTAACCTCAATTTCTCCTCGCCGCTCCATAGCTAAGTCCGTCTTTGTCGACCTCAGGGCAAGAGAGGGGAAACAATACTGAAACCCCACACCCCCGTCATCAGAATTTGTTCCACGATATGGAGGGTAAATCTGTCTTTTTCTATTTTGTCATTACCTGCAAAGGATGTTAGTAAACAGAGGATAGGATAAAAAAAGTGGCTGTTAAATTCTTGTAAACATAGGATAAGATTTTTAAAATGCTGACTGGATGGACAATCTTGTCCCACCCAATCCCTATCCATCATAGTGAATGAGGCCTTAGTGTAATTGACAAGGGTGTTTGTACTAGTTTTAATTAAAATGGATACAATCGTGATTTTGGACCAACTGGACCATTGGAACCTTTACCGATGGGTTGATCGGTTTACTCGCCGGTACCATATTTAAGCGGTAACATAACTGTGTTGCATCTTAAAACCACCGACACACACAATCTGCTCTCAATGTCATCGGCGGTGAGGTCATGGAGAACGGCGTTCCTGACCCTGAGGGACGAAACCCTGTGTTCACCTTCCGGAGCTACCGTCCTCCGCCTCCTCAACCAGCTCATCCTGTCCCAATCCAATACCCTCATAGCTGCCTCGCTGGACTTGTCGCCTCATGAGGTATTATTTCTACTTCGGACGTGATGTGATCTGAATTTCTTCCGAATATCTGATATATATGTATTTCTCCCCCCAGGTTACTTCAGACTTCATGCTGTTGATGGAGTTGGCTGGGAACATTTCTCAATGCCAGAGCGCCGGAGATGTTACTCAGGCATTAACTGAATTGTCTCAATTGGTACTAATCCGTGCAGTACCCTTTTTTTTTTTGTTCAAGATTCCATGTTATTTCTTCTTTGATGTGTCTTCAATCTCGTACTGAGGAATTAGAGTGTGGCGTCTTATTCTTGGTGTTGAATGAAACGGGTTTTTGAATTTTCTGTTTCTTGCTTCATGGTTTTGGAGTTGAAGTATGTGTTGGTATCAATAAACTCACAATGTTATGTCCTGTTTACCAAGGGAGATGATGTTGATTTTTTTCGGGTTTCAGTACAAGTGAGTCTCGGCACTAAATCTTGGGTTGATGTCAGAAATAACATAAATATTAGGAAAAGATAGTAATCCTGAGCTAGTTCATAGAATAATCTAGTTAGGTATGAAACCACTGGAAATGATCATAACTGAGTTAGTACTCAACATTAACTATCACTACGTTCCAAGTGTTAGACAATGTGAGTTGGGTCATTCACTATCTCTGTAATTGTTTATTGTTATTTTGATTTTTTCTTCCCTTTACACCTTACCTTGGAGTATCTCCAGTTTTATTCATTACTAATTGCGTATTTTATATTCTTTGCAATATTGTTCTAAGAAAGTTGCATACTAGTGCATTAATCGGAGTAAGAATGTAGAGAAATTAGAATTAGCTGTTAGGTGCCAAGAAGTTCTCAGTTCACGTTGAATGAACAGATGAGCACAACTAATGCCACTGCTCATCTTTGAATCATTTGCTGCATCCAGATTATTTTATTACGATCTAGAAGATATTCAAACAATATTTGCCATCTGCATTGGATTTATGATACTGCATGAGCAACGCCATTGGGTACCTCATCTTGGATCTTTCCGTGCGTCCTAAGAATTTTATTCTGGTATAGGAGATCAATGGTCTTAATCAAGAGCCTGATGTTGTTTTGGTATGCAACTCAATGAGAAGGAATAAATGAGATTTACATGCTGTGCAAATCAATTTTGATGAACTCATCTTTGTGTATATGCTTTTTTGATCATAGTTTGCAAGATTTACAATCTGCTAGCTTCACTATATAAATTGAATATAAATTATCCTTTTTTTCACGAGAAATATCGTCTGCCACAGGAATTTTGTTGCTGTGGCTATCATATGGTCTTTCTCATACAGAATTATCTGTCATTATGTTACAAATGTGTAGTGCATCTGAAATTTTTGCCTTTATTTGCAGATTCATGGCATCAGCCATTGTTCTTCTTTGGAAATCAATTCAAAGTCTTGGGCTCCTGTGTTTGACTCTTTCAAAAGGATAGTACAAGCTCTCATTAGCATGGGCAAATCGGATAGTGTGCTAGTTGGAAACATTGCCATACTTAAAGCCACGTTGCACTGTTTAGAAAGTATACGGTGCGAGAGTCCCCCCCCCTTCATATTATATTCCTTCACTTCCTAACATAGTTCCTTTCACATGCCTAGATAGTTTAAGCAATAAAATTTCCAAGGAAAATGAGCTCTGCTCCTCTGGGTGCTAGGCAGTTTTTTGTAGGGCTTTAACCTTTGGCAATCGGATCTTATATTTGAGCTCCACAAGTCTATTCCTTTCCACTATTTTATTCACCAACCCCAAAACTTATTTTTTAGTTTATATCTTTTCCCTTTATTTATATTAAAAATTTTGTATTGTCGAGGAGCTTGTTTGGCTTAAGTTGTATTTTTATTGTTACATCACCACTAACAACACAACTCCATCCGTATGTGATGTGCTGTTGATCTATTTTTTCAGATGCCTTTTTGGTTTATATCAAGCAGCTGCACTACTCTCAGAAAATGAACAACTACTGGCTTTTCTTCTTCAAGTGGTTGGTCATTTTCATGGGGAGTCAATATATGACAAACATATAGTACGTGGAGGTGTATGCGAAGTCCTAACAACCGCATTTGCTATGATTGGAGAGGCATACTCGAGACTGGGTTCTTCTTTACCAGTTGACGCATGGCAGTCAACAATTGAGGTATGTGTAGATGGGCATTCACATACTAAAAGATGCAACCTTGAAATTGCTAACTTAGGTTTTCTTTCTGTCCTAGGTTCTCAGAAAAGTTATGGACATTGTGGCATCTAAGACCCATCTATTGGAGGATAACAATATTGCCATGTAAACTTATCTCTCTTGTTATTCAGAGTGAGTTTTTTTTCAGGAATTAATTTCCATGAATCACATTGAGTTAACATCTCGGACAGGTTCTATAGTGAGCTACTTCGTTGTCTGCACTTAGTTCTGACAGAGCCAAGGGGAAATCTGGCAGGCCATGTAAGAGTTGCTTCTTTTTTACTGAGCAAGCCAGTAATTTACTTTTTTGATGAATTTATCACTTTCCAATCATTTTAGGTGGCTGGCTTTGTAGCAGCATTGAGGATCTTTTTGCATTATGGTCTTTTAAATAAGCCACATGTTGTGAATCAAGTAACTAACCACAAGAAAGAAGTTGGCTCTACTAGCAGAAACCTCCATGTTGAAGTATCAAATAGATCGAGAACTGGTCCTTATAGGCCGCCGCACTTGCGAAAAAAAATTGTGGGAAGTCAGCAGTTTAGCCATGAAGATGGCACGTTTTCTCCGAAACTTGACATTGTATCATCGGACTCAGATTACAGTGATAATGATGGATCAGTGATGGATAAAAGCAGTGCTCTGTTTGCCAAGGCTAGGTTAGCTGCTATTCTTTGCATCCAGGTTTGTGAATTTTCGGTTATTGTCTTAATTTGGGATTCTAAACTTTCTGTTGCAAATTAGGTGCCTTTTAATGCTCTTTTGATTCTCCACATCTTTTTTCCACTTCTGAATAGCATACCCTTCCACTGAAGTTAAGGATATGGCTATTAATTGCTCCTACGTGTTGTGTGTTTTTATAGTTAATTTAAGAAACTCAAGCTTCAGGTACAGAAATAGCATTTTCACTTGGGTAATAAATTTCTTATGGTAATAGTGGTCATTGATTCCAAATGGAATTTTATATTTTCTAACCTCTTAACATTTGGATTTTAATTTTCTGAAAGGATCTCTGCCAAGCTGACCCCAAATCTTTCACAGCCCAATGGACCATGCTGTTGCCATCCAATGACGTGCTACAGCACCGGTGAATCATTTAATTTCCTTGTTTAAGAAATATGCATGTGCTTGTGTCTGTATATTTTCCTTTTTAAATGTAAACTTGTTACTATTTCTCTTCCTGCTTTCTGCAAGTGTTCTAAGTTGGATAGAAAATTCAAGTTTATTCATGTCATCCATTTATCTTTCTTGTTTGCAGGAAATATGAAAGTACCCTGTTGAGTTGCTTGCTTTTTGATCCTAATTTTAAGGTATGACATATTTTGGTTCTGGAACACAATCAAATATCTGTGACTAAGGGATGAAAGAGAAAGTATGAAAGTGGATTCAACGTCTGCTGGGGTTCAAATTTGAATTAAATGAATATTAATAATAGAGACGTGGAGATAGAGTAGCAAAGGGCGGGTCTGGGGCAAGAATAAAAAATCCTTCAATTGAAATACCGCCCTTCGGATTGAAATATAGTTTCGAAGTCATTATCTTACTTACTAATTTGATTTACTATGGCTTTGGTTGATTATTACTTACCACATTGTCTTTCCTGGTCTTTCATGCCTTGAGGAGTTTAAAATGTTTTAATCCAGTATTATATAGTAATTCCCATTACTCTACACAAACTGTATATATGATGATATATCTCAAATTGCTTAGGTTCGGAATGCAGCCGGCTCTACTATTGTTGCATTGTTGGATGGCCCTGCATCTGTTTCCCTACAGGTAGCAGAATTTAAGGGGCACTCCAAATGTGGGTCTTTCACAGCACTTTCTAGTTCTTTGGGGCATATCTTAATGCAGCTACATACAGGTGGTAAAATGGGGATTTTTTTCCATGTTTGTGTTTTCCCATCTTTTCCTTTAAGGCTTTACGCATTTTATTTTTTGTTTTCTCGAAATAATAGTTTTGGATGAATGTGTATAACCTCCCTACATATGGTGAAGTTGAAAAGTACCCCTGTTAGAAACCCTGCTAGAACCTAAGCCTAGAAACCTTTTTTATAATGTTTAGTTTTCTAAATCTATTTCCTTTATATTATATATTTTATTATGTTATACTATTTTTCTAAGTTGCGTCAAGAATAATGAGTACATTGGTCAATATGAGCAGATGAGATAGACAAAAACATCACATTTCCCCTTGATATTTCTGGTTTACATATTGCACATCTGTAAATTTAGTGGACCAAGGACTGTATTTTCTCGGAAAGGCGCAAAATTAGTACTGTAAATATGGGGAAGTTGAAGTGCTAGCTTTGTAACTTTTGAAGTAGCAGTTATTCTTGTGTATTTTTCCTACTTTGGTTCCATAAGCTTTAGGTTTGGTGAAAATCTGGTTCTGTAAGGATTGAGTTCGAGCTAGTTGATTTCTCATTACCAAAGTGTTGAGCCAATGATTTAAGTTTACTCATAGATAAAAAATTGAATTGTTATCGAAGCCTATGTTTGACTTATAAGTTAAATTTGTTTTAAATATGATGCGAGTTGTTTATCGAGATGAAAATTTATAATTATGATTTTCGACAAAAATTTTGCGATATGACTTCTACAGTTTGTTTACTTATTATATATCAATACAAAGGCATGCACGTATTTGGCAACATTGATTATTTGGATAATATTACTGAATTGCCTTAACTGAATGTACATGTAAAAGTGCCAAACTCACAAGACAGAAATTATTATTTATATTCATAGCAAAATTGTCACCAGAATACTGGAACTTTAGAAGTTGCTGTAGTAATATTGCAACACCTGCAAAACAAACAGGACCGATTTCGTATTTTTCCTTGTTTTTGCCTTTTCTCTGCCTGCAGAATTTTTATCAAGGGGTTTTTAGGTGCTGTAATAGCACAAGTCTTTCTCTCTCTTTGAAAATGCAGTTAATTGATTGCCGTAGTTCTCCAATAGCAACAAAGCTAATTGTTTTTTTTTTTTTTACTGCACAGGTACACTGTATCTAATTAAACATGAAACCCACAGTAGGATGTTGGCATTGTCATTCAAAATTCTGATGCTTCTGATATCATCTACACCGTAAGTACTTTATTTAGGCTCATTCCCAAAAATATGTTTCGATGTAGTTTATTTTTTTTCAATGCATGTGAAGTCGAAATTGAACCATAGTGATTCCCAGGGATGATTCAAAGCAATTTAGAGCGTAAACAAATTTACCAGGTGCTTAGATATGACATCAGCAGTCAAGAGAACCTTGTTTCTGTAGTTATTATAAGTATTATCTATCACTCTGTTCAACATAGTGAAGTAACTTCTTTCACACTCATTTTTGGGGTCATTATACATCTAGCAATTTCGATTCTTTTGACTGGTACAATTTGCCCAAGTTGTTATCATCGCCTACCTGACGTAGCGAAAGTGTAAAGGAACGGAAGAATTGAGAGAGAACTCTGGTTTTTTCTTAATCAATCAAAATCAATTGCCCTAAATGATCATGCTCGTCCAGGAAAGCCAACGGAATCTCGTCTCCATCACTACCTCTTACTACATGAATAATCTCCTCTTTGATTAACGAAATGGAACCTTAACTTGTGAATTGAAGCCAACTGGTCCAAACTTTTTTAGTCGTGCTACAAATTAATTATCTATGTGTCTAACTCTTCTTACATGAATTTTAGTTATTCGAGAATGTCTACAGAGCTACTACCAGGGGTTATCTTCTCAGTTCAATCAACTATCGAAGAGGGTTTTCCACATCAAAGCGATCGAAATAGCTTGCTGGTTAGTATGAATGTTTCCTGCAGTCGAATGGTTTGACTTTCCATTGTCTGGCTTCCTTGGGTCTTGAAAATTTTTAGTCCGATTTTCTGTATACTATCACAACACTTTGTTTCTCACGTGTCCATTTAAGCTAGAGGATTATAAACAATCACAATTCTTCAACTCAAGGTTATGAAATTTGAGATACTTCTATTGATTCTATGCTTACAAAAAGAAACATTTTAAATTCCTTCTCTTATATTCAGTATCGTAGGAATTTATCGTAATCATAATTGTTCTGAAACCAGTGTCTAAATCCTCAGTAGTTTTTTTACTGCAACCAGAATGTATTACTATTAATTATTGATTTGGCACCCTCCGTGTAATTCTGATTAGTATTCAAGTTCACCATCCTTTAATTGTTCGACCTGATTTTCTTTTCAATGGAACATTGCGAAGACTTACCTTACTGTCAATGTCTTTGGATTCTTCTATTGAACAACTTTTTTCCCATGTTTTGTGGTTGATGGTTTAGATGCTATGTGATGGTATTTAGATAGCGTTTGTGGTACTCTATGTATGAATCATTTATGTACTTCCTGTTAGGGGTGAGCATGGGCCGGTACGATTCAGAGATTGAGAAATCTACGGAACCGTACCAAAATTCGGAGATCACTAAATTTGATCTCCGGAATCATACCAAAAAATCGAGACGGTTAGGTTCATAGATTTTTATTTTGCAGTTCGGTATTCGGGACTCTCGGTTCAGTTCGGTATGGTTCGGTTCGGTTCGGATTTTCAGAGATTTCTTTTGATTTTTATATTCTTGAAAAAGAAACAATATTCATCAATACTTCATCTTATCGAAGATTTTATTTTGAAATCAACTTTAGAAGTAACTATAAATTTTAGTTACTAAATTTATATGCTTTAAAAATACAAACATTTATCAGTACTTCCTTATATTAAAGATTTTATTTTGAAATCAACTTAAGAAGTAACTCTAATTTTAGTAAAGACTAAAAATGTGCAACTAATATCGAAAATTTAAAATTCAAACAAAATATAATATAGTTTTTTCTTAAAAAAATTCTTTAACCTTTCATTACCATTTAAAATAATTTTTCTATAATACGAAAAATTCAATTGTAGGTCAAGTATTATTAAGCATGAAATTTAAGTGAACCTTAATTGTTATTACTATATTTATTTGCATTTTAAAAATTCTCAAATTATATAGGATCATGGGATCAAAGTTGACACAAAATATATTAATAACCCACATCTAATTTTATAGTTTGATTTTTAATTTCGGTTTTTCTCTTCGGTACGGTATAGGACGGTTCAGTACGGTTCTCGGTACAGATATTTGTAAAATCTCCAGAATCGTACCAATTATTTTTTCGGTTCGGTACGGTTCTGTTCGGAGTAAGTCAAACGGTTAACGTTTATTTTTCGGTTCGGAGTTATTTCGGTTCGGTTTTCAAAACAGATCGGAATTCTCCCATGCTCAACCCTACTTCCTGTTGCTTGCCTTTTGGTCTGGTTTGTTCAACAATGTTGAGTTGCAGAATGATCGCTTGAAAGATCTTTGGATTCTTTCACTTGCTCTTTCATATTTATTGCTGTCTGTTATATGTTCATGTTACAGCTTCGTAAACGAATAAAGCTAAACCTTTCTGGCTAATTTGTGCAGGCAGCTGCTATTAATTGTTTATCTCTAGCTCTTTCCGTGTCTCCTTCCTCAACTCATGTCAATAGTATGCTGTTGGGAGAAATTTCCACAGGTTTGTATTATGCATCAGTCGAAATATACACAACTTGCTATGCATTTGAGTGGGTATTCAATTTGCCTGTTTATGTGTTGGGGAATGTAGAAATGATACTTTGACATCATATTTTTCTTCTTGGTGTATTGGGGTGGGCAGTGGTAGAAGTATACTTACCATTGTAGTTATACAAGAACAGAAGCTTGTTTCCTCTAATTTGGGTTACTTCAAGATCTGTCCCTTTAAGCAGTAAGCTTTAAATTTTGGTGTAATATCTTTTATAATTTTGGACATCTATTCCAACTTTCACCAGGAGTGTAATTTTATTGAGATTGCTAATTGGACCCATGGCTTCTTGTTTCCCAGAAATTTAGGAATTTCGGTAATTCGAAGTCACCAGGATTGACATGTGAATTTCGGAATTCAATATTAAGTAGTATTTTTTACGCACAGGTTAGTGCTGGGCAGGTGACAAATTGGGGGCTAGTGCGTAGGCAGGTCACAATCAGAAGAAAATGCTAAGTGGTTGTGTGAAGCCTAGTGCCAAGGTGGGCACTTTTATGTTTAGGTTTTTTTGCGCCAAATAATCAAATCCCCATTTTATTGGCACGTTTGCCCCTCCTCGATCACAGTAAGCAATTTTCATTAAAGCCACACAATCTTGGCGAGAATCAGATTTAGATGTCTTCATTTTAAAAGATATTGGAACATAACTTGAATTGACTAATTAAAAGACGAGATTTCCAAGGAGCACAAAGAAACATGAAGTGACTCCTTAAAGACTAGATCTCCAAGAAGAACAAACTAGAGAAAGAAAATTCATTTCCCTCTTCTTCGATCTCCTGATTCTGTCAAAATTTTAAGCAGTACTGTTTAGGTATGTGAAATGTGATTTAGAGGAAAAAGAACATAAAATAGCCCCAAAATAATTATATATATATATATATATATATATATACATAATTAATAATTCCTCTAGAATTTCATGGAATTGATTGTTAGACTGGTTTCCTTTCCATTTTCATATCAAGTTTAAGCAATCATTGAAATGTGGTTGTATTTGTAACAGACATAATTTGTTAATTTAAGCAAGTAAATAAGTTAAATCTGCTAATTTTTCTTAATCATAGAAGAGGTAGGTGGGATTGTTTTGGGGGGGAGGGGGGCGAAATATGATGTGATGTGATAGAATAATATCTTGGATTTTTCTATCACGTCTTGGATTTTTTTTTTTTTT